CCCTCCCACCAGGGCAGTGCTATTGACTGAAGTCGTCTTTAGGCCATTCCCAAAAGGGGGATATTAATAAGTTTTTATGCACAGTAGAATTGTAGATGGGTTGATTTGTCAGTGTAATGCTCATACTGTGCCGGAACAACATAGGGGGAACAGCTGCTTTTTCTTTCCTCATCCTTGCTATCGTCGTTTTTCCTCTACTTCTTTAGTATGTTCGTCACTCTTTTGTGAGCTGCTATTTCCGGGGCGCCTTGATCGTCGAAGCAGACTTTGTGCCATTGAAGCTAGAGCGATGAGCAGAGTAAGCCTGATTCTCCGTTTGGACTTTTCTGTTGACATCCACACCTTGGCGCTCACATTATGACCTTATGCAGTTGCGAGCGCCGTAAAACCTTACTAAACATTAAGACATTACCGCAGACTATCCCTTACCTGATAGTTTAGGTATTACTACAGCCTTAGTTCAAGTATCACCACAGCCTCCTACTAGTTAGTTAGTTCAGTTGTTCTTTTAAAAAAAATTGAGTTAAGTGATTGATGAATGTTGTGGTGTGATGTAACCTGCTCCTTCTAGTATAACAATCACTCTGTGTGTCTTTTCCTCATTCCTCAAGAAATGTGGTAATGAATGTTTTGCTGGCCAGCTGATAGATTTGTTGTCAAAAACCTTATTCCTGCTTTGTAATTCTCAAGAAAAAAGGATGTGTTTCCTTGATTGCGAAATGTTCAAAATCATATTTTGCTGATGCAACGTTCTGACTGGCTGCGCTATTTCTTCTCATGAGAATAAAAGAAGAAGAAGGTTTGAATGATCTGCATGGAATCTTGTTTGTATTCTTTTAAAAAAGAGTCTCTAGCTAAGAATGTAATTTTTTTAATTTCCCAGAGCTGATAAATAGCTATGAGGGTTTCAGATACGCTCATTCATCCATTCACATAGAATGGATTTTTTAAAAGAAATAAAAACCCATGGTGCAGTTGTTTTGACCAAAGAGATAAAGTATCATACTTCTGTACAGACGATGTCACTTCTATAGAGCTCTTTTGTCGATGCGTTTCAAAATCATTTAGTTCTGAGTGTGTTCAGACGCGGAAGGAGAAGAAGAGATTTTGTCTCTGTTCGCTGTACTGGAAAGGCTTTCTTGATAGTAAACGTACAGCGTTGGTGCGAAGGAGAATTGTGGCCGGTCACGTAAAGAGATAGTGAAAGAAAATAAACGTGCATTTTTGTTTTAGCCGAGTTTGTGAATACGTATAATAGGAGATGTACAGACTGACGTTTTCAAAGCTGTAGCCCGTGAAGGGCAGTCTCGTGGCCTCTTGGAAAGAGAAAAAGCTGAAGACAATTTTCTGTTTCATGATAGTTGTGTGTGCGTGTGTGTGTATGTATGTGTGTCTGTGTTTGCGCGCGTGTGTGTGTATGT